CCCGCCAGCTGCGTCCCGCCTCGGCTCCGCGGCCGAAGTCCGCCCCGCCGCCGCCGCGGCCTACCTGTAGCCGGTGAGCACGCTCTTGTTGACCACGACGATGAGGAAGGAGCTCACGCCGTAGAAGCCGGCGGCCAGCAGCTTCAGCAGCACGGTCAGCGGTTCGGCCGACGCCATGCCCAGCGCCTCCTCATGTCGGAGCGCGGCGGGCCGCGCGGGGGCTTCTCCTTTAACCCGGGCATGCTGACGTCTGTGGACTTCCGCCATGGCTGCGGCGGCGCCGGGGGGCGGCGAGGGGCGCGCGCGGCGGGCGGCGCTCCTGCGGGCGCTGGGCATCCGCCTGGTGAGCTGGGAGGGCGGGCGGCTCGAGTGGTTCGGCTGCAGCAAGGAGAGCCCGCGCTGCTTCGGGACCGTGGTGGGCGACACGCCGGCCTACCTGTACGAGGAGCGCTGGACGCCCCCGTGCTGCCTGCGCGCGCTCCGGGAGACCGCCCGCTACGTGGTGGGCGTGCTGGAGGCGGCCGGCGTGCGCTACTGGCTGGAGGGCGGCTCGCTGCTGGGGGCGGCCCGGCACGGCGACATCATCCCGTGGGACTACGACGTGGACCTGGGCATCTACCTGGAGGACGTGGGCAACTGCGAGCAGCTGCGCGGGGCCGAGGCGGGCTCGGTGGTGGACGAGCGCGGCTTCGTGTGGGAGAAGGCCGTGGAGGGCGACTTCTTCCGCGTGCAGTACAGCGAGAGCAACCACCTGCACGTGGACCTGTGGCCCTTCTACCCCCGCAACGGCGTCATGACCAAGGACACGTGGCTGGACCACCGGCAGGACGTCGAGTTCCCCGAGCACTTCCTGCAGCCTCTCGTGCCCTTGCCCTTCGCCGGCTTCGTAGCGCAGGCGCCGAACGACTACCGCCGCTTCCTGGAGCTCAAGTTCGGCCCCGGGGTCATCGAGAACCCCGAGTACCCCAACCCCGCGCTCCTGAGTTTGGCGAGAGGCGGCTGAAGCCCTGGCGCCCGCGCCTGCCCCCAGGGGAACATTCGTGCACGGGGAGCTGGCCTTCGTCTTGGTGCCACCGGCATTTGGTGGGCGGACCGAGGATGCCAAGCCGCCCTGCAGGGCCCAGCACAGTCCCAGCCATCAACGACGCCCCCCACCCCAAGATTTCCAAGAACCCGGGCTCCAGGGCTGGGCCAGAGTTTTGGAACAAGAGGGAGGAAGGGTGTAGGTTCTGGGGCTTGCCTGTCGCGATTCAGACCCCGGCTCTACCTCTCACTAGGTAGGTGGGCCTGCGCGAGGGGTCCCGGTTTCTCTGTGCCTCAGTTTCCTCCAGGATTCGCTGAGTACCTGTGTCTAGCACATGAAGAGCCTCAGGACGCTTGGCGGCTGGCGTTGCTTCTGCCACTAGAGGGCGCCCTTGTCCTACCGTGGCGCCGAGGCGACGGGAAGCCAGGACCTCTGTAGCTTGCGCGTGGTCTAGGACAGGCTGACGATCTGCCGCTCTTCCAGATTGCGACCTCCTTCCCTTCTGGGAGAGCCCCGTGACCTGCATGCTGCTCTTAACCCCGTCCTGCAGAGGAGGAAGGAGGCTCAGAGCTCTGCGGGGCAGCGGTGGTTAGAAACTGGGTTCGGATCCCGGCTCCACTTCTTATTAACTGTGTAACCTCCTTATTTTAGCTCTGCACCCGTTTCCCCACTTGCAAAGCGGGGTGCACAATAATCATAGCTCACATTTACTGAGCACCTACTGTATACCAGGCAACATTCTGTGTTTCACACGGATTCACTGATTGATCCCTCACCTCGACCCTCCAAGGTGACAGCTGCTATTATTTCCATTTCACAGATGAGGAAACTGAGGCCAGAATGGTAAAGTCACTTGCCGAAGGTCAGACAGCTTAGGAAGTGGCAGAGCAGGGACTTGAACCCAGGTGGTCAGTCTGGAGCCCACACTGGAGTCGCCCACTATGCCCCTCTCTAATAACCATATAAAGAGGGGCTTTTGGGGGGCGGTACATACCACGGAGCAGCTAAAGCAATGGCAGCCTTCCTTTTGTGATCATGCACCTAAGAGTAAATACCCTTTGTGCATGCGCCCTCAATATATGTATTTATTTAGAAATTATATCCAGTTACTACTATCATTCTGTATATTAGTAATCAGGCTTAAATTATTCCATTTTAAAAATAAAGATAAATATAGAGGTTTCGTTTACTTGCCTCGTCCCAGTGACTTGTCCCACACCCCCGGCTGTGTGCACCTGTCTGTTGAGACCACAGGCTCCGTGGTGGGTGAGGCCCGGGTTTAGACCGCAGCCGGCTGCTTCCTCCCTCGGGGTGAACTGGGGCGGCATGACTCTGCCGCTTTGCACCTGGGAAATGGGGGTAACGATGGCCCTCAGCCCCAGGGTGCTGGGAGGCACTTGGGTGGTAGAGAGGCCGGAAGTCAGGGCTGGCTTGCCTCCTGGCTTTGCCACTAACTTGCCTTGTGACCTTAGGCAAGTGGCTGCCTCTCTGGACCTATAGATTGGGTGGGGGGCCAGGCAATATTGCAGAAGGGGAAAGCCCGTGGAGGAGGCTTCACAGACCAGCAGGGCGAGATAAATGCAAATTTGGGCCCAATCTCCTGAGACTCCACGTCCTGACCTCTTGTAACCCAGCCTCTGTTTTTAACACCTGAACCCGTGAATGGCTTCCAAAGAGACTGTTGGGTTCCCATAGAGCATTCTGGAAACATATGGGGACAGTTTGGGTTATCGCTGTGATCAGACGGTGCTCTTGGCTCTTGGAAGGCATGGCCCAGGGATGGAGATGTCTTATAATATATGCCCTGTCCCGTGTCACATGCAGTTTTAAAATGTCCCATTGGACATTCATGAAGGACAGGTGACATCCAAAATATTTTGCAACTGGTACAGTCATAGAAATTAATATATAAATCAATATATTCATCAAATTTTGAAAATATTTCTCTTTTTATTCTCCAAATAATTGAAATGATCTATCTACATAGACATATTTCTTTAAATCATTTGCCAAGAACAGAAGCTGGAGCTCAAATTATTCTCAGGTTATTGGAATGATTTTGTTTTATTTAGAAATTGTGTGATTTCTTGATTGACACAGCTGTATATACATGTATGTGTATATATATAGATAAAATAACATGATATATATATATTAATTTATTTAAAATAACCATGCCTTAGCTGTGATTTGATACGAGAACCACCCAAACACTTCTAGCAACTTCCCATTAAATTGAGAATCATTAGATGGCTTGGGATCTCAATAGATAACTTCTCTCTTGTTTTTTTTGGTGAGGAAGATCAGCCCTGAGCTAACATCCGTTGCCAATCCTCCTCTTTTTGCTGAAGAAGACTGGCCCTGAGCTAACAACCGTGCCCATCTTCCTCCACTAATAGATAACTTCTCTTAGCATCGACCACGGTGTTTTATTTTCTCCTCTCTTTGCTGTTCTTGAGCTAACAGCAATTACTTTAAGAACTTGCCTAGCTTTTATACTGTCTGACGATTTGGTATATTCGATATCTTCATTATTGACTAAGTAATGATACGACAGAAAACCCATCACTACAATTAACTTGAATGAATGAGTTTATATTAGAATACATATTATTGAATTTTACTGCTTTCTGTCTCTCTCTCTTTTTTTTTTTTTTTGGTGAGGAAGATTGGCCCTGAGCTAATGTCTGTTACCAATCCTCCTCTTTTTGCTTGAGGAAGATTGTCACTGAGCTAACATCCGTACCCATCTTCCTCTATGTTGTATGTGGGACGCCTCCTCAGCATGGCTTGATGAGCGGTGTGTATGTTCCCCCCTGGGATCCGAACCTGTGAACCCCAGGCCGCCAAGGTGGAGCATGCGAACTTACCCACTACGCCACTGGGCCGGCCCTCCCCCCTCCCCACCCGCTTACTGCTTTCTCAATTACTCTTGTACTATTCACCAGCCAGAAGAGAAGTATTTCAATATTTTGAAATACATCCATACTAGGGCATACTAACTCAATTTCAGCCTTACTTGGAAAAACCTGGTTAAGAATTATCTGAACCCACAACCTAGCTCTCTCGTCATGCAAACACAAAGTCCTTTTGATGAGGTTTTACTAGGTTCTGAATTTTCCAGGAAGTGCCACTACCATGCAAAATGAGGGGAGCTGGTATGTTTTGTTCAAAACTTGGCCAAGGATCGTCAACAATTTTAGAAAACCACATTCTGTACGGCTCTTGGTAACTAGACGTGGGTCTCCATCCGTGCTGGGAGCTGCTGATGGTACAGGTGTAAAGGTCTGGCTTTCTCCGTGGGTTCTGGGGAGGTGGCCCCACGTATTAGCATGTTGAAGTGCATGTTATAAATTATTATCCTTTTACTTTTCCTTTTTATTACAGTTAGGGCAATATAGAGATTGTTTTTATTTTTTTTATTTTTTTTTTAAATGGATAATTTTCACTTATTTTTTTTAATTAATTAATTTATTTATTTATTTATCTTTTCCCCCAAAGCCCCAGTAGATAGTTGTACATCCTTCTAGTTGCTGTATGTGGGACGCGGCCTCAGCATGGCCGGAGAAACGGTGCGTCGGTGCGCGCCGGGGCCCCAGCAGCAGAGCACACGCGCTTAACCACTAAGCCATGGGGCCGGCCCTAGAGATTGTTTTTAAAATCACGTGCAGGAGCCAGCCCTGAGGGCCTACCATTTCCAGTTCGGGGCACCCCACTTCGGCGGTCCAGGTCCGGTTCCTGGGCACGGAACCGCACCACTCGTCTGTGGTTAGCCGTGCTGTGGCGGCGGCTCACACAGAAGAACCAGAAGAACTTACAACTACACACAACTATGTACTGGAGCTTTTGGGGGGGAAAGGAAGAAAAAAGGAGGAAGATTGGCAACAGACGTTTAGGGCGAATCTTCCCCTGCAAAAATAAATAAATAAAATCGCATGCAGGTGGGTTATATTATCTGTGAACTTCGTTTCAGGAGAGCCAAGAGGACTTTCCCAGAGCTGACATTCAAGCCAGCACGTGCGCTGGCGTGGCCATGCGGGTGGTTAAAACATGAAAACATGAACCTGTGGATTATTAATCTGTTGGTAAATGATTCATGGATGCAGTGTATTGTGTGTAAATGATACCTCAATAAGGTTGACCCCAAAACGGCAGGTGTGGGGGGGAGTCCAACAGGCCTAGAACGTTGATCTGTCTCCAGGAGAGACAATCTGAGTCATTACCTGCCCCCCGTCCCCCCACCCCATAGCGGCGGAACTCAGGCGCAAGCCCCATCCTGGGCCAGCCGGAGCCGTCCCCCTTGCAAGCCAGCCTCCTTGGAAGGAGCAAAAGGGGCGTCCCAATAATAGGCGCGGGTGGGGCAGTGGGGAAAGGAGAGGGAAGTGGAAACTAGGCCCCAGGGAGTGGCCATCCAGGCGCTTTTTCTTCTGCTCTGATGTAAACCATCATAGTGGCCTCTGGGTGAGGCATGTCAGGGCCATTGTCACCAGAGGGTGAGACTTGGCAGCGCCTGCCAAGGTCACATAGCTGGCAGGTAGCAGAAGCGAGACCTGACACAGGGTAACAGGCTCTTACGGCCCAGCAGCTCTGCGGCTGGAACCCAGTGCATTCACTGCAGATATTTATTGAGGACCTACTAAGCGCCAGGCCCTCTGCTGTGCTCTGGGCATGCGGCAGTGAAGGGGACAAAGGTGGCCTTGTGGAGTGCACATCCCCGTGGGGACCAGGTCTGGGAGCCACTTAAGCCCCTGGCCACACCGAGGCGGCTTGAGATGGTTCCAGTCTTTCTATATGACCCGGATCAGCGTTTTAGGCAAATTAGTGGCATGTGCCCAACAAATTTAAAAAATGGAATAGAAAAAAATGGGTAAGTATTTTTTGGTGGAAATTGGCCCACGTACACATTCTTTGTATATACACATATTGTATATATAGATGGTATATGCAGTATATTACATATGTAGGTATGTATCTCTTTAAACAGGCTTCCCTCATAACCTAAATCTAATCCATTCCCCACAAAGCATTAGATAGAAAATTTGGGGATAAACTACTTTAAGTGGGGAAAATAGTGCACTCCCAGCTTCAACCAAAAACCCCAACCGATTTCCCCAAATATCATTAAACACTCTTATTAAACACTTATATCACACACACCCCCCAAGGATTTTGGCATAAGAAGCATTGAAAACACCAATTACTTAATTATTCAACACTTCACGAACTCATTAGTGGCCATGTCTGTGTGCCATACACAACAATTTTGCAGAATCAAGATATAAATTATATTTTCCTTGCAAATTGCAACGATCATGAGATGTAACTAAATAAACTGAAAAAAGATGCTAAACATACTTGATACCATCTATAATTGGCCCTGGATCGGTGGAGCCTCCAGGCACCTGGCAGAGGTCTACACAGGGACCTAGGGTGCAGGACATAATATCAGCTATGTTTAACATGCTTCAACAATGCACAAGACAGGATCCTGCGAGAACAGGGGAGCTGCCACGGGTGCCATCCACATCCAGGACTCCCACAGGACTTAAAACAGTTGCACAGCAGGTTTTGGATTGAAGTAACAAATTTTGGGTTAAAAAAAAAAGAGCAAGTCATTTTTGGGACTATTTGAATTGTGAGAGTTAAGATATCAAGGAATACCTTCCTATGGAGGTGGTTACAGTGGAAAATGGATTTATCTGGAGTTGTAAAATATTTTTAACTTGAAGGTAATATACATAAGATAAAATGCACACATCTTAAGTGTACAGGTTAATTACATATTCCAAGTGTTTACATCTGTGGAAGCATCACCCATATCAAGACAGAGAACATTTGCTGTATCATGGAAGGTTCCCTTGTGCCCTCTCCCAGTTAATAAATCACCCTCTTGAGTCACCACCGTTCTGATTTTTCTCACCATAGACCAATTCAGCCTGTTCTAGACCTTCACATAAACGGAGCTATAAAGTATGTACTGTTTCCAGCTTCTTTCACTCAAAATATTATCTGCGAGATGGATCCAAGTTGAGCATGCCAACACTTGCTTGTTTGGCTAACTGTCCATCACATGAATGATTATACCAATTTATCCAATTGATTCGTTTCCAAATTTTAGCAATTACACAAAGAGCAGCTATAAACATTTATGTACCAGTTTTTGTGTGACCAGAAGTTTTTATTCCTCCTGGGTAAATACGAGGAGTGGGACTCATGAGCTGCAAGGGAAGTATATATTTTAACTTGATAAGCAACTGCCCAGCAATTTCCCAAGTGACTGGACCATTTTGCATCCCCACTGGCACTGCAGGGGCTCTGTCCAGTTGGCTCCAGCCTCATCAGCACTCGGTACTGTTTTTGTTGTTGCCAGGCCAACAGGTGTGTGTAACGGTATCTCACTGTGGTTTCCAATGGTGTTGATGAACACACAGATTTCAATGAAGTCCAGTTTATCTGTTTTTTGTTTTTTTCTGTGTGGTTAGTGCTTTCAGTCAAATTCTTACAAACATCTGATTAGATATACTTGACAATTTTATTGCTAAAAAATATCCTCTGGAGTGACTGTAATATTTGTCCTCAGTCTCCCCCCAGGGTTTCTGGGAGCGTTTCTGTTACTGTGGAGGGAACAGAGGGCCTGGGGACCAGGTGCGAGGTACCATGGAGTCATAGCGCACACACGCACGCACGCACGCACACACAACTAGAGCCACAGCCGCCAGAAAACCAGCAAAAGAGCTGGCAACCTGTCAGAACATCCTTCCTCTAAAGAGAGCAGAATTCCGCGCGGTGACCTGTGCCACGTCCTGAGACGGGGAGGCCAGGCAGGCTCCCGGGATGGGGCGTGGAGGACGCTATTTCTCCATCTTGCTGTTTCCGAGCCTTGCACAGGGACAGGATTTGAGGACTGGGAGGACTGGGGAGACACACTCACACACACAGACACATACACCCAGGAGCAAGGCCTCTCAGATCTGACATCCAGGAGGGAGGCTCTCCGGAGTGTGTGGGCAGGGCCCCCAGAGGCCCAGTTTGTCCGTTTATCCGTGTCTCCTGATGCCAATGTCTCTCGGGTGCCCCCTATCCGGGCAGGGAAGGTCCCTTCTGGGGTTTACATGACCGATTCCTTCTCGCAAGTGTCAGCATCGCCAGCGGGTCCCGGGCTGTGTTTGAGGAGGGGGTTCCCCTCCTCGGTGGGGACCGGCAGTGGAGCCAGGGGCGCCTCACTCTTCACCTGGATCAGCTCCGGGACCGAGCTCTGCGAATCTGTACGATCCACATAACTCTGCAGGAGGCCCGCCCCAAAGGCGTCACCTTCCACGTTGAGGATGGTGCAGGTCCGGTCCCTGCAGGAGTGACGAGGAAGGGAGGGGGAGGGGTCAGGGCCCAACCCTGGAATCCTGAAGTCCCCATCACGCCTTCTTCACGGAACCCTCGGAGACCCAGTAGCTCACGCCTCCCTCCTCCCAGGGTCCCAAATAGCCTTTCCTCCTAGAACCTCAAAGATCTTTTCATCTAGAACCCCAGAGGCTCCTTACCTCCCTTCGTTCCCCCGGAATCCCAAAGTGTCCCATCATACTTCCTCTGCCTGTGAACCCCAGAGACCTCCTCCGCCACCATCCCTGGACCCCAGTCATCCTTCTTCCAACAAAACACAAGATCCGTTTCTTCTGGAACCTCAAAAAGTCATCCCTCCCTTTACTTGGAGACCAAAAAGACCCATCCAGCCCTCCCCTTCTCCCTGAAATACTAAATTCTCCTCCTCAGAATCTTAAGGATCTTCCTCTCCCTTCATACTTCTGTGTGTCTGTGTGCCATTTTAGAAAACTGAGCTATAATTCACACACCATAAAATTCACCCTTTAAAAGTATACAATCCAGTGGTTCTTCGTATATTCAGAGTTGTGCAACCATCACCACTTTTTAGTTCCGGAATATTTTCATCACTCCAAAAGGAAACCCCCACACCCATTAAGCAGTCAGCCCCCATTCCCCCCTCCCCTAGCCCTAGGCAACCACTCATCTACTTCCTGTCTCCAGATTTCCCCATTCTGGACATTTCATAGAAATGGAATCCTACACTATGTGGTCCCTTGTGTCTGGCTTCTTTCACTCAGCATGTTTTCAAGGGTCATAGATGCTGTAGTGTGTATGTATGTATCAGTGCTTCATTCCATTTTACGGCTGAATAACATCCCATTCTATGGATATTTGACATTTTGTTTATCCATTCATCAATTGATGGACATTTGGGTGGTTTCCACCTGTTCCATATTACGAATAATGCCACCATGAACATTCGTGTACAAGTTTCTGTGGACATGTTTTCAATTCTCTTGGGTATATGCCTAGGAGTGGGATTGTTGAGACGTACGGTAACTCCATGTGTAACTTTTGAAACCAAACTGTTTTCTGATCTTTTCTGCTCTTAATAGCTTTACCGTAATAGCTAACAATGATGTAGCATTTACTACTGTTCTGAGTAGTTTTTCTAAGGGGGTTGCATGTATTAAGTCATCTAACTATTCTCTCCATTTTACAGACAGAGAAACTGAGACACAGAGGGATTAGGTGCCCAAGGTCATAATAGCTGGTAATGGTGGCTCTGGGATTTAAACACAAGTAGCCTGGACAAAGTCTGCTCTCTTAACCACTCCGGCATGCTACCTTCCTGGGGTTCCTCGTAGAACCCCAAAGATCCCTTCCTGCCCTCTTACTGGAACGTTCCAGGTGCCATCCCCCTTCCTCTAGAATTCCTTCCTTCCTCTTCTCTTCTGCCCAGGGGCTTTCCATGACCCTCTTGCTCATCCTCTTTCCCAGGAGCCCCCCTGAACCCCAAACCCGCACTCACACCAGCCAGTCCACAGCCAGGATCAAGGAGATGTCGTGAACCGGGAGACTGACAGCTTCGAGGATGATGGCCAGAGTGAGGACCCCTCCAGCCGGGATGCCGGCCGCACCCACACTGGACGCTGTGGCAGTGACCCTGGTGGAGGGGAGGGGAGGTCAGGGAGAGGCTGCCACGGGGTCGCTGCTCCCCCCAACCTGTGTCTCTTCTCAGGGGAAGGGTCTGGTGGGTCGGAGGTCCTAGCCGCAGCCACCCCGCACTCACAGGATGGTGATGATCTGCACGAAGTCCAAGGATCGCTTGTTGAGCTGAGCAATGAACACCGTGGCCACGCACTGGAAGAGGGCGGCACCGTCCATGTTGACAGTGGCCCCGATGGGCAGGATGAAGCGGCTGATGTGCTTGGACACGCCGTTCCTCTCCTCCACGCACTTCATCATCAGCGGCAGCGTAGCGGAGCTGTGAGGGACCAGAGCTGGGTTAACTCGAGAGGCCGCCCGGGCCTGGCCCCGCCCACCGTTCAAGCCCCGCCCACAGCACCCCGCCCTGCCTCCCTGGTCCTTGGCCCAGGCCCCGCCCACACAGCCCAGCATCCCTGGTCCAAGCTCCGCCCACCAGCCTAGAGCCCTGCCCCCAGCATCCCCTCACTGACCACACCCCCTCCCATTATCCACCAATAAGAGACCTCGACTAAGAATTACTATGCTCTTTTGGGGATGCTGCTGCAGGGAGGGTGGGGTTCTGAGGGGACAGGGCCCGTAGAGACGGACGAAATACCTAGGAGAGGTGGGAGGTGCTCCCAGAGGTTGGATCAGGGCTGGAGCACTAGAGTCCCCAGGGCAGGGCCTTGGGGGGAGGAGGGGTTCTCAGGAAGGGAAAGAAGAAATCTCGAAGGCAGTGGTTTCCTAAGTTGGTGGGTGGGGTCCAAGACCTCATGAGAAACTCATGACAGCAGGGCCCCTGTACCCAGATCCAATGTCCCCAACACAAAATTCCAGGGGTCTTCAGACATCTGATGCCCGCTCCAGGCCCCTTAGCTTAAAAACCCGGGTCTGCCCCAAGGCCGCACCTGGAGGAGGTCCCGAAGGCAGTGGCCAGCGGCGTCATGATGCCCCACAGGAAGCGGTAAGGGTTTTTGCGCGTGAAGATAAAGTAGATGAGGGGCAGCACCAGGAGCCCGTGGATGGCGTGGCCCAGCAGACAGCACAGGATGTATTTGCCGAGACTGGCGAACAGCAGCCCCACGTCCTCCATCTCCACGATCTTGCCAGCCACCAGGAACAAGATGCCCACAGGGGCGTACCTAATTACCCAGGAGACAGATGGCTGACTGCCCACGTGCCCCCTCAGGGCCGGGCACTGCGCTTGGCACACGGCCTGACCATTTCCCAGCCTCCCTCGCGGTCAGGAGGTGCCCAGAGCAGTGCGTGCTGAGGTTTGGGCACCTCCCCTGCCATCCCCCGTGCTCTCTCCTCTTGAAGATAATGCAGCCGGGAGATCAAAGAAGCTGAGATTCATCCACTGCCCCTTGGAGTAGAGTCACCAATCAGATTTGGACTTAACACACGGGCGAGAAAGAAACATCCACCATGCATAAGTCATTTACATTTTCTGGGCTCGTTTGTTATAGCAGCTGGTATGACTTAAACTAATAACCTCTCACCACGTCCTGAAAAATAAAAAGACCGTGGCTCATGTCTTAACAACTCCCAGGTGTGAACCATTTATGTGCCCTTGAACGTGACTGAATCTTCCCCACAAACCCACGAGGGAGCTCCTATTTTGAATCTCCTGCAGCTATCATGGAATCAGACAAAACCTAATAGGTCTGTAAACCACGGACGATAATGCCACCAACCTCACAGGAATGTGGGGAGGATGACATGAGACTCCAGTTGAAGTGACTTGAGAGCTTTCTGTACACAATAAGTGATCTATAAACTTCAGCTGGGGTTACTGGCGCCTTCTCCTGGAGGGAAGATCCCGGGGTGCTCGTGTCTCCCAGCCAGGAGGCACCCCAAGATCACCTCCTTGTCTGCTTGCTCGCTATGGCTAGTTGTCCCCCAACTCCTTCTCCTCTTTAGCAACAGAAGAAAGGCGCCATTCCCCAGCCACCTGTGCAGCTAGCTTTGGCCAAATGCCCGAGTTCTGGCCAGTCAGACATGCCCAGAAGTTATACAAAGAAAGTACTTGATAAATATTAGCTAACATTGTTGACTGTAGGCATGCAATAGGGCAGCCACTGTCCCAAGAACTTGACACGTATGAACTCATTTGTGCCTGGTACTGCCAACCCCATTTTCCAGATAGGGAAACTGAGGCACGGAGGGATAAGTAACTTGTTGTAGGGCACACGACTGGAAGTGCCCACACACCTACCTGTGCATCAAAGAGTTTTTATTAGTCAAGGCGCATTCCATTCCCATACAGCAGCCTCTTAGATGTCGGCTGCCCTGGAATCGGGGTGGGTGGGGGTGTGGGATTCGTTAAAAATGCAGCAACCCTGACCCTTCTCCTGATTTCTGACCCTCTAGATCCAGGTAGGTCCCGAGGATCTGTGTGAGATGGTGTGGAGATGAGACTGGGGGAGGGGACAACGGTGGCGGCCTCTGCACAGGTTTTTCCCCCTGATCATCAGGGGTCATTTAACAAAGCTCATAACAATAATAATCGTAGCCACCATTAAGTAAATTCCAGTAGGTGTCAGATATTTAAAGCCTTTTCTAAGTACCTTACCTATACCTCAGTCACTCATTTCATCTTCATGATAACTCGATAAAGCAGCACTATTTTAGATCACTGACCCAAAGGCAAACGCTTGATTCCATTTAAATCTCTAAAACTGAGATGGGTTAGCCAGGCTGTGGCCACAGCTCGGCTGTCTTTTTGTCACCTTCCAGTAAGATCAAGAAGGTGCTGGTATCAGTCTTAGCTCTCACGGAATACAGCATCGTCCTCGTTTTATAGATTGAGGCACAGAGAGGGTAAGTCGCTTGTCCAAAGTCACACAGCGAGGGAATGGTCGATGTTGGATTTGAATCCAGGCCTTCTGGCTCCAAGGAGTGGATGGAGCCCTATCCCACAGCCCCGGCCCCTCTCCATCACCTACCACATGATCCAGGAGACCAGCACCATGGTGGCATCGTTGAAGGAGTTGAAGAAGCGGATGAGCAGCTCTCCCTCGGGTCCCAGCTTCCGCAGGGCCACGCCAAAGACGATGGCAAACACCACCAGGCCCAGGATGTTCATGCCCTCCACCTCACCTCCCACGGGCACCTTGGGGCAGGGAACAGATGGCGCCGGGAGGGGCGTGCTCAGTCACCCTGCACAGTCACTGAGGGGGCCTGTCCTGGGCACTGCTGGGACCCAGCAGAGACAAGACGGCTCCTCAGGCCCCTTCCTCCCACGGCTCACAGTCCAGGCCCAGGGGAAACAGGCCTGTGGCCAGGGACCACCCAGAGTGGGCAGGGCTGGAATGGGGGCCCCAGGGGAGTGTGGGAACCAAAAGGTGGATGCCACCTTGGGGGGTAAGAGGGAACCAGGGAGAGCTCCCTGGAGGAAGAGACTGAGACCCGAAGAACAGGAGGGGTAAACCAGGTAAAAAGGGGTGGTAGAAGGTTCTAGAAAGAGGAAACAATGTGCAACAGCCTAGAAATGAGAGCAACTTGGGCATTCAAACAACACAAAGAAATCCACTGTGGCTGCAGTGGAACGAGCCAGGCAGAGTCAGAAGATGAGGCTGGGCGGGTGGCTGGGCAGGGGCCTGGGCTTTCTTCCGAGGGCACTAGGGAGCATGACAGGCCTTGAGGCAGGGGAGAGGCAGGCTCAGGTCACGCTTTGGAAAAACCACTTGGGCTGCCAGGCTGAGGGTAAGTGGGGTAGGGAGAAGAGGGGGCAAAATGAAGATTCCAGAAAGGCAGAGAAGACAGAAATCAGGGAGGGGCTGCAGCGAGTTTTAAAACACATTGCACAGCAAATGTTATAAGACCCAGAGGGCCCAAAAGGCTGGGGTAGGAACCAAATGGAAACACCACAACAGTGGGCCAAGGGGTGGGGCCCCACCCTGCCCTTTCCTGCTCTCACCTTCACCTGGGTTCCGTTGATCCATATCTGTTCATAGGAGGTGGCATACTGTGGGTGGGGTTGGGAAGAGTCAGTGTCAATTGTCATCAAGGTTCCCCCACCCCATGCTGGCACTAACAATGCTCAAAGCCGGCCCTAAGCATCCCTTAAACACAATCTCATTTCATCTGGCCAGCAGGCCTGCTGAGGCAGGACTATTCAGACCCCCAAGGCTCAGAGAGGTAAAGGCACTTGCCCAGGGTCACACAGCTAGAATTAGAACCCAGAGGGGACTTGGAACCCATATTCTCCGTTCTCGATGAGGGGCATGGATGGGTTTCAGAGGTCACCCAAGAACCCTGTAATATCATGGCCTGTAAATATGTGGGCATGTGCGTTTTTCCAGTATCACCCCAAAATCAGGCACCAAGAGGCTGCAACAGGCTGTCTCCCTCCCTGCCCACCCCCTTAGGACACCCCTTGAGGACTCACTGAGCGGAAGGCCGCGGACACCAGGTTGGAGGGGAAGATATTTCTGCAGAGACAGACATAGGGGGGTTTATTAGATACCACAGAGGGAGGAGATGGGGGATGCTGGGGGGCTGGGTTGGCCTCCTGGGGTAGGGAGAACCTTGGAGGCACGGTTTGCACCCAAATGTGGCCCCCACCTGTGCCCCAGCCAGGTTCAGTCACGCAGTGTTGGCCCTGGGCCCGCACACCTTTCCAGGGTGTGGGGGGTCTGAGCTGTCTCCCGGGCTGGCATTCTGGCCCCGGGGGATTGCAGAGCAGGGGTGAGGTGTGCTGGTTCCCAAGGCGGCCCAGGGCAGGGTCAGCCGGGGCCTCAGCTCCACCCCAAGCAGCAAACTTAATACTGTGGCCGTCTTGCATCAGCCACTTCCTCCTGGAGGGCTGTGGCCCGAGAAGAGGGCTGGCTGGGGGCTGGCTGGGGGGTGGGAGGGTGTGGGTGTGTTGGAAAGCGGTGGTGAGAGAGGGCGACAAGGGATGGCTGTGTGTGTCATGAATGTGCATCTTCAGTGAGCAGCAGCATGCATTATACCCCAGAGCCTGGGAGGGAGTCAACAAGTGCCTCGTGTGTCTCAGAGTGAGATGAAAATAACATCAAACACGCCTACAGGCGCTGTGGTAAATGCTTTTCATAAATCCACTCGTTGAATGCTCACAACAGCCCTCAGGGGTACACACTATTATCCTATTTCCAGAAAAGGAAACTGAGGCACAAAAAGGTACAGAAGCTTGCCTGGCCAGGGAGTGGCAGAGCTGGGATTTGAACCCAGCCATCTGGCTGCCTAGTCCTAACCACTGAGCATGCTCCCTCCCACCACAGATGTGGGTATACAGCTGTTGCCGTGGGTCCGTACACAGGGTGTCAAGTGTTGGTATCCGCTTGGGGGTGGTGGGTTAGTCTTCAGAGAAGTGGAAAACTGTTGGTGTGCAGCCACGCAGGTGTGTGAGGTTGTACGTGCTCTTGAGTGTGTGTTTAGGCAGTGCTCAGTGTGTTGGTGTGGTCGGTGGCATCAGTGAGTGACTGTTTGTGCTAAAGCGGTGTTAGTATCCAGTGGGGTGTGTGTGACAGTGGATGCACACCGATGTGTCTGTGTGACATGTCCCAGCCGTGACTGTCTGTGTGCCTGTGTCCGGCTGTGTCAGTTGTAAGGTTGTGCGGCTCTGAGATTCCCAGCTAAGTCTCCCAGCGGCTAGCTGAGCGTGAGTTGTGTACGTCTGTTTTGGCACCACACGGGGGAAGCCTGTATACACAAACAGCCTTTGAGTGGGTGTGCCTGTCTGCAGGCTGGCCTGGACCCACCCGGGCCAGCCAGGGCTGGGCCACGACCCAGCTAATCTCCCCCAGCCAGGAGGCGCCCACCCACTGCCACTTCTAGACACCAAGCCTGCCCCAGTCTCACACCTCTGCGGCACTGATGTGCCGGGAGGCTGGGGGAACCCGGTTCCCTGACTCATCATTTCCTCCTCCCACTTCCAGGAAGTCCCCGACCAACCTGGATACACTGAATCAGCAAGCCCCCGAGGCAAGGCCACGTGGACACCGCAGTCTGCCCTCCCTAAAAGTGGGGAGAGCCATTCTCGGGGGGGTGAGGGGAGAGCAGAGGCCAGAAGGAAAAGAATCTGCACCTTTTCTAACCAGCCCCCTTCTGGGCAGCCTAGTTGGGGGAAGCCCAGACAGAGAGAGGAAATGGGATGGAGAGTCAGTGGAGGCGGCAGGATTTACCAGGAACATATAAAAAGGGAAAGCCACCAGAGCCCCGCTGACCTGGGCGGGGAAGGGAGGCTGAGAAAGAACCTGGCTGCATCAGGGTGATGCATGGTGTGGGGAGCCTGGCACTGGGAAGCGGGCTCGGTGGGGGTCCCTGGGATCTCCCCAGGTCCTCCAGGGGCTCCTTACCCAGAGGTCTCAAGCCCTCTGGCCCTGGACTCAAATCTTTATCCAGAAGCCCCATCCTGGGCCCTTAGCTGTCCAAAAATCCCCACCCCTCACAGGAGAGACCCTCTTATGTGTCCCAAAACCGCAAAGCATTACTCTTTCTTCTCGCTCTATAAGACTTCCTTGCTTATCCCCTTCACATGGGGTCCCACTTATGTCCCCAGGTCCCCACATTTAGAAGCCTCCTTCCCCAGAAGTCTGCCCTCACCCTTCTGTACCCTGACCCCTAAGGGGCCAGGGCTTCCCTCACCATCCCGTCGCCGTCTTCCTGAGGCCCTGGGGATGTCCCGGCCCTGGAAGACCCAAAGACCCCCTCCTGTCCACGTGGCCACTCCCGCCACCGCTAACACGCATCCCCGTCCCCCCTCTCCACGGGCGGGCGGTGTCTGACCTCACAAGATCCAGGAACGAATCGCGCACCTCCTTGCTGGGGGGGGCCTCTTCCGTAGCGCCCGTGGCCCCGACCGAGGCGTTGATGGCGGCGAAGGCGGCGCCCGGCTTCAGGGCCAGCGCCAAGCCCACGCCGAGCGCCGACGCCAGCAGCGTGGTGACCAGGAAAAAGAGCAGCGCCCAGGCGCCCAGGCGGCCGAGCGCGCTCGGGTCCAGGCTGGCGGCGCCGCCGACCAGGCTGCACACCACCAGCGGCAGGATGATCATCTTGAGCAGGCGCAACAGCAGCTCGCCGGGGAAGGCGAAGGCCGCCAGGCGCGCGGGGCCCAGCGCTCCCGCGCCCCCGGCCCCGGAGACCCCCAGCCCCAGCGCCACGCCCGCCACCACGGCCGCCACCGTCAGCAGCACCAGCAGGTTGGCACGAAGGCAGCGGCGCACCTTGTCCCGGGAACTGCCGCCTGTCGCGCCTGGGTCCTCTAGAGGGACCAACGCCAGGGCACCGTTCGCGGTGGGCTCCGCCGCCGCGAACCCCTTGGGGTCCCCCTTCGGCGGATCGGCCACCATGACGAACGCCCCGGGGGTTCCTTGGCGCCTGGAAGCTGGGAGCCCTTGAGGCTCCTTCCCAGGGCGCGCACGCTCCTTAGAACTGGGAGTTGAGTAACAGAGCCTGGAGGCTGGAACTTTGCAGGGTTCCTCGGAGTTCTGAGGTCACCGCGCCTCGGCTCCTTGGCTCCTGGAAGCGGAGCGTCCCAGATCCCGAGGCTGGGCGCTGGGGCTCCTCCGCTCTTCTAGGTGGTGTCCGGCGCCCGAGGGCTGCGAGTCGGGGGCACCTGGGTTTCTTGGCCCTGAGTGTTGGGAATACGCGAGTCTCTCAGGCTGGGACCCGGGGTCCTTGGCTCCGGAAGGCCGAAGGCGCCCAGGCGGCGGAGGTCTTCAAGAGGCTAGTCTGGTGGCGCAGATCCAGGACGCCTGGATCCGGGAGGCGGCGACCCGGAGAGCCTGGGTCCTGGAAACGGAGGGCTGGGGAGCCTGAGTCTGGGGGGCCGGAAGGCGGAGCTCCGGGAAGAGGAGAGCCAGGCTCTTGGGTCCGAGAAAGGAGATCCAGGTCCCTGGGGGGGAAAGCGCGGTCTGGGATTCCGGGAGGTGACGGCAGTTTTCCCCGAGCAGACCTCGCGGCCGCCGCGTGGCTCTGAGCCGGCTCGGCGGAAGCTGCGCGGATTAAGGCGGGGAGCGCGGCTCGAGAAGGCGGGGACCCACCGCGGCCGCCGATTGGCTGCGGGGCGCTCGGAGCCCTCCTGCGCGCGCGGGGCGGGGCTGCGGCCGGAGCGCCGCCAGGTCGCCCACAGAAGGCAGAGCAACAATGGCTCTGTCCGGGGGCGGGGCCTTGTGGGCGGGGCCCCAAGGGGGCGGGGCGTTAGAGGATGCTTTTTTTTTCCCGCCAAAGCAATGGGACTGTGGGTTGGAGCCGTTAAGCCGCCACGGTCCCCTGGCACGAAGATCTCCGGAAAGTGCAGGTGTTGCAGCGGTGGCTCATTTGCAAATCGACTCAGCCTGGAACTCCTCCTCCGCCCTGAATTCGCTCTTTCGTCGCCTCCCCGAACTTGAGTTCCTGCAATGTAAAATGCAGATCCCTCGCGTGATTGGTGTAAGATTTAAATGCGATGGAGTTATTTATTTAATAGTGTTAATAATTTTTAAAACAAGTGTTCCCGGGTCAGAGCCCCACACTTTTCAATTAATGGCAGTTATTACATTAGGATTGTAATCCACTCCCCCCTAGGTAAACATTTCCAATTCATCCATTAAAAATTATAATTCAATTTAATGACAGTGCTAATGCTTTTACAAATGCTTTCGCCACATATTTTCCCCCATATTTTATTATGAAAATTTTCAGACGTACAAAAAAGTTTAAAGGATTTTACAGCGATCGCCCATATACCCACCACCTAGCGTCTACAACTGTTTCACCATATTTCATTATCATATTTCTATCCATTTTCTCTCTATCCACCCATCCGTTCACTATCTTTTTTTGATACATGCTGAAATAAGTTGCAGATATCAGTTGTGGAAATTAATGAAAGAAATCTTAACTAAATTGGAGTCAGGAAGGCCTGTAGGGGGAGCCTCACGCCCTATCATTCATCGTTAATTACACCAACCAGGAAGAGACGGTCAGTTGCATCTTGGACAGGAAGTAAAACTACTTTACTACCGGAGGAAGATTTCTCTCCCCACCCAGCAACAGCCCAGCCAATGAGAATCGCTGTAGCTCAGCCAATGAGAAACACCACAGCTCAGCCAATGAGAAATGCCACAGCTCAGCCCATGAGAAATGCCGCAGCTCGGCCAATGAGAAATGCTGCACCTCAGCCAATGAGAAGCCATTGAGGCCCTGAACTGTCACTTTCTCCCAATGGACTTTGGTTTAGAACAGCCCCTCCCTACTCCCCCTTTTTCTCTATAAAAGCAGCTCCCCTCCTTTGTTTGCTGGATTTGCCTATGGTTTGCCATAGCATGCAAGTCCTGAATTGCAATTCCTTTGGCTATTCCCAAATAAACTCACTTTGAGAGTAATATAACTGGCGAATTTGTCTTTAAGTTGACCTAGTACACTTTCCTTCTAAACACTTCAGTGTGCATTCATTAAGCAGAGTTCAATATTTGCACACAGTCATTTTTTTCTTTTTAGGTAAAGTTTATATACAATGAAATGCACAAATCTTAAGTGACATTTGCTGATTTTTGACCAATGCATATACCTGGGTTCACTGGAATGTTCATAATGGCTTGGTGAGCTTGGTCTCACTATTATACCCATTCTCCAGATGGGCAAAACTGGGGCTGATGGCCAGAGGAAGTCTCTCGCCTTGAGGCCACACCTGGGGAGGCTCTAACCATGCCCGCTCTGCCACTTCCCTAAATTCCCTCTTGGTGGTCAGTTGGATGGTTTCCAGCAAATCGGTCATGATTCCCTACGCCTCCTGGCTGTGTCGAAATCCTAAGTCCTTCCCCACCTGTCCTGTTCTCTGATAACACTTCAGGTATTCACACTTGCTCGAAGACTCTAGATAGCAATAACCTCAGAAGCTTCCTCCTCTAGCAGCCATGGGGCCTCAGGCAAGTCACAACCTCTATCAACCTCAGTCTCCACATCTGTAAAGTGGGAAGAAGAATAATAGCTCATGCCTCCTTGAGGACCAAATGAGATCATATGTGCAAAGCATTTAGATAAGGTACAGTCTAGCCCTTAATAAAGTTAACTCATACTCTTATTGTTATTATTGAAGAACATGGTTTGGGCCCAGACCAGCTCCAGAGGCTCCTGGGCCCTAGTGGTGAGCTCTCCCTTCTGGTCACCGCCAACCCCAGACCTAGACACGCTTGGGAAGAAGCTTTGAGATCTTTTTGTGTGTGTGTGTGAGGAAGATCAGCCCTGAGCTAACAGCCATGCTAATCCTCCTCTTTTTGCTGAGGAAGACCGGCTCTGAGCTAACATCTATTGCCAATCCTCCTCCTTTTTTCCCCCAAAGCCCCAGTAGATAGTTGTATGTCATAGTTGCATCTAGTTGCTGTATGTGGGACGCGGCCTCAGCATGGCCGGAGAAGTGGTGCGGCGGTGCGCGCCCGGGATCCCAACCCGGGCCGCCAGCAGCGGAGCGCGTGCACTTAACAGCTAAGCCACGGGGCTGGCCCAGCTTTAAGATCTTGTGGTGACATCCTGCAGGATCTGAGGCAGCGGGGCCAGGCCGAGCTGAGCCTGCCCAGATTCCAAAGGACCCCCCACTCAGGCACATGTGGCCTTGCGGCCCTCCTTCCCGTGTCTCTCGGAGACTCCCCCCTCCCAAATCCTCCCAGCCTGACACCAGCTACTTCAGAAAGCCCCATCCCCTATCCCAACCTCCTAGTCTGAAGTCATATTCGCTCAACAAACTCATATTAAACTCCGGTCTGCTTGGTTCCGTGCTAGATGCTGAGAGTGTGGGCCTCAAGCGGCACAGACCTGGGTTCGAATCCTGGCTCCACCACTTACCAGCTGAGCCTCGGTTTCCTCAGTCGCCCTAGAGTCAATGTGAGCGTAAATTCAATCGTGCACACAGTGACCCTCGATACAAAACACGAGGGGACAATTCCTGAGCCCTCCATGCATTCTACAAACATTCCCTGAGCACTTGCTAAGGGACAAGCACTTGTTTAAGGTGCTGGGGATTCAGCTGCAAGAAAAAAACAGACAAAACTCCTTGCCAGCATTCTAGTGAGGGGAGGACGAGGAAGTCACCCTGGGCATTCAGAGGGGGATCAGCGCTGGAGAGAGAGAAAGTGCTGTCAGGCAGAGAGAGATGCGGTGGTCAGGGTGGGCCACTCTCAGGAGGGGACATTTGTGGTGAGACCTAAATGACAAGAAGGAGCTCCCTGGGACAGTATGGGCAGAACGTTCTAGTGAAAGAGAAAAGCAGGTGCAGAGCCCTGAGGCAGCTGGAGGAGAGGCTTCCGGCCTTGTTTGAAGTGCCGTCAGCAGTTATCTTATCTCTGCTGATTTTTGAGACCTCACTCTTCCGTTTTACTGATTTAGAAGCAGATGGGGGTAATGAGGTTTGTTGTGATCCAAATCCCCCACCTGGGCAGGGGATTTGAACTCAGGCATCTCTGACCCCGGCCTGCTCCCTCAACCTCTATCAGACCCCACAGCTAGCCCTGCACACGGCTCCTCCCCAGAGACATTTCCTTCAAGGGACCATCATTTATTGGGCCCTGTGATGGGCGGTGTCAGGGACCCAGTGATGACCAAGACAGCTGGCCCTGTCCCCTGGGGACTCACAGTCTAGAGGGGGAGACAGACCCATCCCCAGACAGTGACCACACAGAGTGAGCAGGGCTGGGATGGAGGAGCCCAGAAGGGATGCTTGACCTGGCCTGGGGGTCAAGGAGGGCTTCCTGGAGGAGGAGGCCTCGCAGCTAAGATAGGAAGAGGTTGGACCAAGCCCAGGGAAAGAGTATTCCAGGCGAAGGGAACAGTACATGCAAAGCCCCAGAGTTGAGAAGAGCCTGGAATGTTCCCCAAAACAGATCTAACCTAGTCACTCCACCCTCTGAGTGGCCCCAGTGGCTTCCCTCGGGATAAAGTCCAGACTCCGCAGCTGAGCATCTGTCTATTCAATAATTCATTCCTTCAATCACTCAACAAACCACATCCACAAAACACAACACCCAGAAACGTCAACAAGAATGAGACAATGCAGAACTGGGCGGAGGCAAGTTTCAGTAATAAATCAGGTCGCCAAGAAATATTGTGAAGGAGGAAAACACAGGGTGTAGACGGTGGGGCACCATAACATCTGGGGGGAAGACAGGTGAAGATAAAACGGCGTCTGGACTCTTTGCACGAATTCAGAGAAACTGCCCGGCATGGTTGCCTTCCGGAAGGAAAGCAGTGGCTTTGCGGTTCGGCACAGGCGCCACGGAATCCGTCTTCCTGTCTCACTGCATATCGGCTAAATGGCCCCGGGCAAGTCACTCCAGTCCTCCAGCCTCAGTCGGCTGGGCTGTGAAAGGCGAGGAACCGGAGCATCCACGTCAGTGATCACGGAGGGGCGGGTCAAGTTCATGTGCACCAAGCCCCGGCGAACCACAGCCTCGGGGTACCTGGTACGTTAGGCTGTCGTGACCCTGGGACATCTATGTTACATCTAAGGCAAAAGGGAAAAAGGCCTCCTGCGTGCGCGCCCCAGACACAGACTCACGGGCTGATGCTTCCCCCGGCAGAGTTCAGGCCCTGGGGCCCACGGAGCGAAGGAGCCTGAGAGGCTCCAGGTGGGATCTGGTAGTGGGGCTTCAGGTGCTGTGGCCTCTGGTGGCTAGGCTGGGGGCGGGGAAGCTTCTGGCAGCCCTCCTGGTAATCGGGGCCCTGGGTACGGAGAAGTGGCCCAGGCCAGTTGGGCAACACGAGTGTAGGCCGGGCTCAGCCTGGTCCCTGCCCACCCACTCTGAGTGCAGGGGGGCCAGACGGGGAGACAGGAGGGAGGAAGGGGCCTCCAGGACTCACGGGGACCCTGGAATCCCAGGGCCGTTGGGGAACGTGGTGGGTCTGGGCCAAGAGGGGAAGGTTGGAGGGTTTGGTCCAGGATTGGCCGGAAGTGTCCCA